GTTGGACAGCATTTGTCTGTTGTGTGGATGATTGGGTGGTTTAGGGGTGGGGAATTTTGTGGTGGGTGGGGGGGTGTTTAGGGATTATGTGTGTTGGACCTGGTCTTTGGGCGTTAAGTGAATTTCATTGTATGGGTATACTGTGTATACACGTACAATGACAATAAAGTTATTATTATTATTATTTGGAGAATAAGCTTGCCTGTTTTGTTCCTTACTTTTAGCCTGGAGAACTCTTCAATAATCATAACACCTAACTGCAACAGCACAAATTAAAGGAAATCTAGGGACTCTGAAAAAGGAGCTGGGAGCTTCAAGTAAGATGTGACTCATGAATGCCCATCCCTAAGACACATCTATTCAAAAAATCACTTGTATTTGGTTTGTAAATACTTTCAAGAGGGGACAGTTACATAAAATGCTATTTCCTACTGCAGTGAACATCTAAACATGCACAAAAATGTACTTTTGGGTTTGGCCCCAAAGCTATTCAAATATTTTAATTCCTGCTGTACTCCTCTTCTGGGCAAGTCCTTATCCTGAATTAATATTTGCCAGCTAGGAGAAACAACCTAGAGTTTAGAAAGGTATATTTAAAAGGCTTAAGCAAATTTAACACCAGCTCCTAAAATACTACCTTGTCTCACATCAGATAAATTCTTTAAAGGAAGAGTGGGTTGACTAGACTTATGGAATCCACGTTTGCCCTTTGCTGAACCCCCAGCTGGGGCCAGAGGCAAAACAGTGGTTCAAGATGAAAGTTCATGATGAGATTTCTTTATTAGTTATGTTCTAACATTGCTGTAATGGTTTGGTAACCCCAATTTTATCCCTCATTCTTAACTCTTGCAAGGCCAACATTTACATAACTACCTAAATGGACTAAATGAACTGCCATTTGTCAGAAATGGCATAGGGCCATGATGGTGAACCTATGGCACATGTGCCACAGGTGGCACGCAAAGCCATATCTGTGGACACGCGAGCATTGCCCTAGCTGATTTTCAGGCCTTCCGGGCCAACCGGAAGTCGGGAAATGGCCCGTTTCTGGCCTCTGGAGGGCCTCCAGGGGGGTGGGGAAGGCCGTTTTCACCCTCCCCAGGCTCCAAGAAAGCCTCTGGAGCCTGGGGAGGGTGAAAAATGGGCCTACTGGCCCCACCGGTAAACTTTTTGCCGTTGTGTGCCAAGCGTGGTGGTGTGGGGGTTGTTGCGCGTGCATGCGCGGGGTGCGAGGGGCATTGAATTATGGGTATGGGCATGCACGCACGCTCCCCCCACCCTGCGCTCCCCCCGCTTTTGGCACGCGACGGCAAAAACATTAGTCATTACTGGTGTAGGGTCTCCTGCTTAAGTGGGGGGTTGGACTAGATGACCTATAAGGTCCCTTCCAACTCTGTTAATCTGTTAAATATCCCGCTGTTTTCTGTACCAAACAACTGCCAGTCACAAAACAAGCAGAGAATCAGAAAAGTCATATTTCTGCTACTAACTCTATTGCCATAGCTAAGACTCATCGTACCAGAATTAAAACAGAGAAGCCACTTTTATTGTCTCCAAGTTTCCTTGATTTCAGAAACCTAATTTGGAGGGAGGTTCTTCTATTGTTTAACACTATCTTTTACTGATTTCCTGCAAATCACACAGAGATGTTCCAGTAGACTTACTTCTGCATGTCCCCTTTTAATGAAGCTGCTGTCAGCCTTGCAAGGCAGGGCAAACAGGAAGTACACATCTAGATGAACTACTTCTACTTTATTGTATGGCTACATTAACAGAATTTTGCAAGTCTGAAAGTCCATTTCTCCTCCATCACCTTTACAAGCCAAGAAACTAGGTAGGGTCCTGTCTGAGACATTTACCATGTCTGCATTCCTTCTACTAAGCTTCCTCTTGTCCAATCGTTCCCTGATTATGGCTCTTCCTCTGTTTCCCAAGGTCACTCTCATACACCATTACAGTAGTTCAGAGATATTCTTCATGGGACAGAAAGTTCCCATAAACCAGATCAGAACTGCAAAGGGGAAAAGTTTAATGTCTCATTTTTCACCCAACAAAATATGGCGTGAATTGGGGTTCTGAATCTATTTAATCGCACGCACATACACACAAATATATTCGCTAACTTCACAAGGTTAGAACTGTAGGGATGCAGTGGTTAGAGTGCAGCATTGTAGGCTAACTCTGCCGATTGCCAGCAGTTTGATCCTACCAGCTCAAGGTTGACTCAGCCTTCCATCCTTCCAAGGTCAGTAAAATGAGGAGCCAGATTATTGGCGGCAATATGCTGACTCTGTACACTGTTTAGAGAGTGCTGTAAAGCACTATGAAGCTGTATATAAGACTAAAAGACTATTAGTGAGATTGGCCTAAGCTTTTCTTTCACTGTGAACCGCTCCTGCAAATGCACTTGTCATTTATAAAGTAGTTGAATAAACTGCAAGTAAATGGATACAAATCTGGGAAAAATGGAACATCCTCTAAGTAAGAAGTTGAAGAGTTATTTCTATTTCCTTGCACAAATCTCTTAATATAGAGAGGTAAAACTCTGAAACTGGCTCTATCAAAAATGTGGAGACTAGAGGAAACTATGGCTTCTATGCATGCAAGCAGACAAGATCAATCCCAAGTTTCACATGAAACCCTGGAAAGAAAGTAGGAATAGCAAGCAATAGCACTTAGACTTATATACCGCTTTACAGCCCTCTCTAAGTGGTTTACAGAGTTAGCATATTGCCCCCAACAATTTGGGTCCTCATTTTACCCACCTTGGAAGGCTGGAAGGCTGAGTCAACCTTGAGCCTGGTGAGATTTGAACTGCCAAATTGCTGTCAGTCGGCAGTCAGCAGAAGTAGCCTGCAGTTCTGCACTCTAACCACTGCGCCACCATGGCTTATAGTAAACCAACAAAACCAAAAACTCATCTCTAGTAACAGAGATGAAGAGCAATCCTGCGAATGGAAAAAACAGTACTGGACTAGATGAACATCTGGACTTAGAGATGGCCTTCAAAGGTTACTGAACCGTCTGTATTTGTCCATGCTGAATGGAGTTGCTCAGAGTTGTAATTTAGAAACATCTGGAGAACCACAGATTTGGCATGATATTAGTTCCCAATGTCCCCAGTTAAAAAAGCAGAAGAATAGGATGGTTGGCCTTGCATTGCTACCACAGAATATGGAAACTACCCATACCAACCAAGTGTCCCATTACCAACTCAACTCTTCCCGCAAAAGAAACTGTGGGAGAACACTATTTAGAGGAGAACAAACATTGCAGCAACCATGAACATCAGGAAAAGGAAACAGTATCTTCCAACAAAATAGATACCCACAGAACTTTATCAAAAAATGCCTGACCACTCAACCCACTATAGTGGGTTGACACAAGCTGTGAAAAGGATAACACTGCCATACATCAAAAACATCTCGGAAACCAACAAAACAATATTACAATCACGTGGCCTCACTGAAGCACACAAACCAACTAAAGTCCTCCAAAACATCCTAAGTAAACCAAAAGATACAGCAGTCCCAGAAAAAAAAAAAAAACCCAAGAGTCATTTACAAAATATACTGTACAATGTAAGGGTTGTAACAGCCATCGTGTAGGACAAATAGGCCGAAGACTAGCAGAAGTGCATCCATGAGCACCAAGTAGCAGTTAAAAGACATGATGAAAACTCCTTAATTTCACAACACATGGATAGATTTAAGCATATCTTCAACTGGGAAACTAGGCATCCTAGACCAATCCAAGTCCAAAAATACTAGAGAATTCCTGGAAGTTTGGCACTCAAACAAATCAGTCATCAACAGACACATAGAGATAAACGACATCTATATACCATTCAAAGGAGACAATCAAAAAGTGAAAAAGGAAACAAAAGAACCAAAACAACTCCTCACCAGCAATCAACACCTAGACAAGAAGAGATTGAAACCAAGATTAATACTAGAATAACAATCAAGAAGTAAACTATATCCCAATTAAGAAACTACCAACTCAGACAAACAAGCTAACAGAAACAACAGGCTACTCAAGAAGCCACCAACATTCCCACCAACACTGACAAGGCAAGCCACTGGTAAAGAAAAAGAAAGCACACCCCACTCCCTTACTAGCACTGATGATGTTACCTAGTTTGGTTATGAAACATCTGCAGGAAAACAATCAAGCTCAGAGAGTATTAAGGACCAGCACACACAACGCAGCACACACAAAGTCCATGCAAACCTTAGTTTACTAATTAAGGACTACTAATGAGCTTTCTTAGTAGTTGTTCAAACACAAGTACAGTCTTTTCTGAACAAGAGCTGTTAATTTAACTTAATTAACAGACAACAAGAATCCAAAGAATAATAACTCAATTCTGAGGCACAGTATTTCAGATAACCGTAATCTTACTGTGGTTGGCAGAATGCCCAGAAGCAATTTGCAGGAAAACTGACAGGAGAGAAGCAAGAGCCGATTAAATGTTTCTGGAATCAAGACGCGAAGAAATATGAACGAAGTTGTTTCCTGCAAATTGCATCAGTCGTCGTCCTTCCTTAAATAGGCTAGGGGAGTGATCAATTAGCCCAAAGCCTCGAAGAGACCTCCTCCTGAGGAGCCACTCCTGCCTTTTAACAGCTCTGCGCACTCGTGCATCAAGAAGAGGCTCCTCCTCTTCTTCCTCTTCACTTATGGGAGCTTCTGGAGGTTCTGAAGGCCCTGGCTGAATCAGGGCCTCTGGCACCACATCTTCTCCAGCCTCCTCATTGTTTGACTCGAGTGCCAGTTGCACAGGCTGCTGATGCATCACCACACCAGCCTCCTCGCTGTCGGAATCAGCTACTAGATGCACAGGCCGCTGACGGGCCACAACAGTGAGGTAAACTGGGCGTTTCCGGCTCCTCCCCAATCTGCGCAGTCCAATAGTTTCAGTTGGTGTAGGTGGACTATTCTTTGGAACTTCTGGACCTTCTGGAGGCTGCATGGCAACTTCGACATGGGAGTCGTCTGGTGGCACTGGCCCAAGAATAAAAGGTATGTCTATGGCCTGCTTATTGTCAGATTGAGAGTTGTGGATTAGTTTGCCCTTGGCTGCTGTGTCTTCCGCAGCTTCTGGCATGAATTACCCAGGTAGGGCCTGGCTTGCAACCAACTCTAGTGGAGGCAAATGGCATCATCGTAGTTGGTCCATGTGCCTTCGCCATGTGCGGCCACCTTCCAACAGGACCCTGTATGAGTGGGGTCCTATCACTTCAACTACTTGGCCTGGCAACCACCAAGGATCCCCTCCATAATTTTGGGTATACACCCAATCTCCTTCCTGGAAGGAGTGGGCCCCACCAATCGAATCTGGGGGCTTCTCTGGGAAATAATCTGGTGTAAATGGTCCAGGTCCATTCTCAACTGGCAGCCCATTAGCAACTAAGCCAGGCTGCTGTTTGTTGTTGGGCATGATGTCGCATGCTGAGTCAATAGGTAGGTGGCTAATTTGGTTTGCCAGTTCCCGGGCCCTAGTTTGGTGAGGGCTTCCTTAGCCAATCTTACAGTTTGTTCAGCCAGACCATTGCTGGTCGGGTGGAAAGGGGCCACTGTGGCATTCCTAATGCCATGCCTTGCCAAGTAAATTTGGAAAGAGGCCAACGTTAGTTGAGGGCCGTTATCTGTCACTATGACATCAGGCAGGTTGTGGGTTGCGAATAACTTTTGCAAGGCTCGAACGACAGCGTCAGCCATGGTTGAGGTTGTAGATACCACCTCCACCCACTTAGAATAAGCGTCCATGATAACCACGAAGGTGTGTCCCTGAAACAGCTTAGTAAAATCCACATGTATTCAGGACCAAGGAGGCCCTGGGACCTCCCATTCCCTAACTGGCAATATGGGAGGGGCTGAACTAGCTACCCTATCCTTAGCATCGTACCTCGCGAAGTCCAATGCCAACACCGGACTCTTCTGTTCATCAATCTGGAGGATTGATGGGGCCAGAGCAGGGTCTCCACAGGTGCAGGCAGGGGACATCGTCTGAGCGCATCAGCATTTCCCAAGGCTTTACCTGGGAGATGAGTCAGTTTATAATTATAAGCTGCCAAGAATACAGCCCATCTTGTCATCCTTGGTGACAGGATTTGTGGGGTTTGATGATCGCTGGCCAGGATTCCCAACAGCGGCTTGTGATCTGTAAAGAGGTCAAAGAAACAGCTGTATAAGTAATCATGGAAGCATTTAACGCCGGCCACTAATGCCAGTGCTTCCTTGTCGATGTGTCCATAATTTCATTTTGTGGCAGACAGAGTCCTGGAAAAGTAGGCGATGGGGGCCTCAGTTCCATTTGGTAACCGATGGCTCAGAACAGCCCCCACCCCATAAAGTGACATGTCACAGGCAAGAGTAAGAGGGAGGTCGCTGTCATATTGGACCAAAACACTGTCTGAAGCGAGCAGTGCCTTGACATCCTGGAAAGCGGCAGCTTTTTTCTGCCCCCATTTCTAAGGCATGCAGTTGTCCAGGAGACAGTGGAGAGGCTCAGCGATGGTAGCCTTGCGAGGCAAAAACATATTATAAAAGTTCAAAAGTCCCAGAAACGCTTGCAGTTTGGGCTTGCTTGCTGGCGTCAGGGCGTTTCGAATGGCTAGCACTTTTGAAGGTGTCAGATGTAGACAGGCAGTGTCAATGAGGTAGCCTAGGAATTCCACTTGTGGCACCCCCAATTTGCACTTGTCAGGCTTGAACTTCAGCCCAGTTTGCTGGAAACGGGTTAGCACGGCACGAAGGCGGGTAGCAAGCTCGGCTTCATCCGTTGCAGACATGAAGATGTCGTCAAAGTAGGGGATTACCCCTGGCAAGTCATATAGCAGTCTCTCCATATGGCATTGAAAAATGCCAGGGGTGACCCAGACCCCAAATTGCAGTCGTCAACGATGAAAAGCATCGTGGTGGGTGACAATTGTCTGTGCCTCAGCAGTTTCATCATCCACCTCCAGTTGTTGATAGGCTTGTGCCATGTCGAGTTTGGCGAAGATGGTACCTTGTCCCAAAGAATGGAGCAGGTGTTGCACTACTGGGACAGGATAGGGGTTAGCCTGTAGGGCTTTGTTGAGAGTCACCTTGTAATCTGCACAGATGCGTATGGAGCCATCAGACTTTAGGGGGATGATGATTGGTGTCTCCCATCGGGCATGGTCCACCGATTCTAAAATGCCCTGCATTAGCAGTTTGTCAATTTCTTTGTTCACTTGTGGGCGGAGTGCAAAAACCGTATAGGGGAAATCTTGGGGTCCAAATTAAAAAAGATTGGTGTACCAGTATACCTGCCAAGTCCCTCACTGTAAACATCTAAGAATTCATGGATCAAGTCCAAAAATACCTTAGGGGTAATGGCATGGATACCAGTCACAGCCAATCCTAAGGCATCAAACCATTCTAGTCCCAGTAAACTGGGTAACGAGCCCTCAACGACTATATGCTTAAGGCGGCTGCTGAACCCTTGGTATTGGACCCAAAACTTCCCACAGCCTAAAACAGGGATGTGATTACCCTGGTAATCACGAAGTCGGAACTGACAAGAGGTCAAATGCCTCTTAGCCATTGAGGGTACTATTCCTTTAAGACTGTTCCAGGATATAATAGACACGGAGGAACCGGTGTCTATCTCCATTTTACAGGGCTTCCCTTCTTTTAAAACTGTGAGGGAAATTTTTTGCCTCAACTTGGAGCTAGTCTGATCTATCACTGTCTCGGGGTGGCAGGCACCCCTATAGATAGTGAAACAGTCTTCCCCCTTCTTACCCAGTCATTTTCGGGGTCGGTATTCAGGAATAGGTCTTACTGAATTATTTTCTGCCGGCTGATTTGCTCTACAGACCCTTGCGAGGTGGTCCCCGTTTCTGCATTTCCTGCAATCAACATTCTTGAATGTACATGCGGAACGATGATGATTTCCCTCACAACCTATACATAGGACTTGTGCCTTCTTCCCTTCAGTGCGCCAACCCTTCTTTTGGGTCATTTTGAGGTGACTGATGTCCTCCTCATCCTCTGACATCTGGTCAGAGTTGATCTCATCTTGGTGAACAGTGGTAGCTTTACGGGCAGCTTGTGGGCTTAGGTTCTTCCTTATCTCAGTGGCTGACTTATTAGATAATTCTGAGGCTTGAGCTTCGTCTACTGCAGATTGCAACGTGACGTCTGTCCTAGCTAATAGACGGCACTGCAATCGGATATCCCTGACTCCGCATATTAATTGGCCTAAAAGGATATCCTCTAGGTCCCTAAATTCGCAATACAAGGCATGCATTATTGCCATGTGCTCAAAAGCCCAATTGGGCTTATTATGAGGGAATGTCTTATTTTGGGGAAAACAGGGTATAACATAGCATGAGCAACTAAAACATCATAAAAAATCTTTAAGGAATAAAAATAACTTGCGATACAGTTTTATCCTCCAAAAAAGCCATGGTCTTATGAATTGGGGATGTGTACAAATTTCAAGATGCAATGTATTCCTTATGGTTTGGACCTCTGCAGAAAAGCTTTACTTCTGTTCCTAATAAAACACATAGCAAAAAATCTCTACACAATGTCCATTGTCTGTGTGCAGAGACTGTTGGACATATTCAATGTCAGAGAAAATCACAAAATTTGATTTAATGGGCCAGAATATAAACAGATAGTGTAGCATATCCATATCTTTCTTGTTCATATTTGGGCTTACTGTGATATCTGATCCAGGTCTCTGAGTTAGAAGAAGGTATGTGATGTCTACGTTGAATAAATACGTTTTTCATTACAGCAAAAATCAGTACTTGGAGGCTTTGTAAGGAAAACCTGAGTATGAATAAATAGAAGCCTTTGACAACAGGCAGGCAAGAATATGTGATTAGAAGCATCATAAAAATAGTTATTAAGAGTAAACTGGTATAACAGATAGCCGGATCTAGGTGTCACTAAAATGTTACCTTTTGCTTAGAAAGTATCTCCTGAACATCACGAAAGGAAAATGTAGGAGAATAAAACTATAATCACAGACCAGGAACTTATCTGGCATTCATAATATATATTATCTTCCACAAACAAGTCATAAAATATACTTATCTAGTATTTTGCAGGAGTGTGGGATACAGAGGAGTTCAATTTAGTGCAAAGGTACCTAATAATTTCAAGGACAAAAGGAGGGATTAGTGGGTTTCCATTTAAGACCATGTGAAGTTGCTAAGCTCCAATTGGTTGCTTAGAAACTAAACCACAGTTTATATTCTTGCAGGGTACCATTCTGGGTCTTCATCTCAAAACCCGAGGCACAGAAGCATCCAGTACCCCAATGGTTTTTAAACTATTCACAGGTGTCCAGCAAAAAGGTGAGTGGATTATTTTTTTAAATTGGAAAAACGAAGTTTCCCATATAATCGCTTTATTAAAAAAAATATGGAGGGATAGAATGTATAGAGCGTTGAGTATACCTTTTCTCCAAATAAATGGCTATTTGAAATTCTTGCACTGGATGTCCATTTTAAAAGCAAATAGGAAAATTTAAGTGAGAGAGACTAAAAGCGATTTAGCATCATTCTGCTGCACGAAAGCTGTTTTGTGCATTTGCACAGAGTTGTATGCCATAAATTTGTATGTAACAGACAGAGTTCCGAGTGGAAATCTAAATAACTGGAGCACTTCTTCATTCAGAAATGTTGTGATCTTGTCTGCTGGATTTTTGCCATTTGTGAAAAAAGCTAAAAAAAAAAAAGATCTATATAATTATGATAGAAAGAGTAATTTCTGTGACATTGTTCTCAGCAGGGTCAAGAGTACAGTTAAATTTTCTTAAGTACCGTAGGTACCATTGAGTTGAGTTCAACTCCTGATGACTAGAAGTAAAATGTTCCATTTTGACTTGTTCATCTCAAAATATGAACAAAACCAATTTTATATTTTCAAGCAAGCCACCCAGTGAAATCCAGTTGCCTTTCGGATTTCACACTTATCCAAAAGTTGAAATGCAGCTTGGTAATTAAATGATGTATATTACAGAACAGCCCCTCTCTCTTCATTAAAATTTTACTAAAATATACGTTATAACATCCTGCACAACATGTGGACGTTAGGTATAACTTCAAACAAAAGGCATGGAGAATGATGCATATAAATGTGTAAATTTCCAAACTCAAAAAAAGCAGAGAAATAGGAGCAACTGAATTTATGAATGGAAAAAATTGAAACTATGAGAAGTTGCAATGTGCATATTTGTCCTTCCATTATTCTCAAGAGTGATGACCCATTGATGGAAGAAAACATTAATAGCATGCATATAGGTCAGATTCAGCACAGAATAACAGTTGGAAGGTCTCCTAATCCGACCCCCTGCTCAAGCAGAAAATCCTATACCATTTCAGACAAATGGTTTCATTTCATTTCAGTATGGTACTCAACAGTACAGTAAATTTTAAAACCGAGGATGTCCTGTTTTAAATTCAGGGAACTGAAGCAGTTATGGTTATGTTTGCAGAATCTAACATGCTGATAATACAGTGTGAATAAAACTTTTAGGATTAAATAGGGCACTCTTCTAGCTAGGACCAAACTGAATGTGGTATGAAATGCATATTTAGTTTTAATGTTCAGATTTTTCTCAAAATGCGAATAATCTAAGCTGGGAATGCTAGCAATTACCGGAACTTCAGCAGAGGGGGAATTTAATGTCAAGCTTGATCCTTAAGCAACTGCATTTTGAATTTGGGGAGATGCTATCTCAGTAGCTATATGAATTTAGTGGTGAGATAATGATGGCTTTGCGGTTGTTTTTTCAGCAACTGGAAATGATTAGAATGTAGAACATGAGCTTGGACTTTCCTAAAAGGGTTTTAATTCTTCTTCTGGAATATCTAGATGAAATTAGTTTTTCGGAAAAAATGACACACATGTTGAACAGATTTTTGACAGAATTTACGCACAAGGAAAAGATCATCTTTGTTGCTATCTGAATAGTCTTCCAAAATTTGACAGATAAAAATAAGAACATGATCTGCTCCCCTAAGATAAAATGAAATTTGGACCAGAATGGAGTGAAGAAACTGTAATAAAAACAATAACAATGTATAAGTTGGCTTGCTACAGGTTGAAATCCTTATAAGTTACTAGAAGGCAATTGAGAAGTTAGGAGAATTCCTTTTATGCACTGGGAGATAGAGGTAAAAGGAAGAATTTCTGGCAGCACCATGTTAAAAATGTTATTTACTGGAGATGTTATCCCTCATTTGGACAATTAGTATTAGATACACTTCTATTTGGTGGCCTTGGTTCCATTTCCTCTTATCACTCTTTGTCCTTCTACTTGTTTTGAAACCTAGGACGAAAAGACAACAGAAAAAGGATGGTGTTAATAATCCTCTCATGTCCTTTTGGGGTTTCTTTCCACAGCTTAATCAGGTTTGGTTGTCCTCTTCTGGTGTGAATGCCTTTTTTTGAACAATTACAGAAGTAAAAACTTGCTCAAGGAGACTAACCACCTAGTCCTTCCTCTACATTAGCACAGTTGTTTCTGGATAGCTCACAACCAAGGTATGAAGGCTACAACTGTTTTTTTTTTTCCCTACCATTGCCTCTTCCTCTGTCTTCACTGGGATTCAATTGCATATTATCTACAGGCTTAATGGTTCCATATGTCCATTTTGAACAGCTATGGGAAAATTTTATAATCTATGATCCCATAGACAGAAATTATTGAGAAGGCCAACAGCTGAATGGCTCTAAACTTCCCATCTTTGCTCTTGAGTAGAAGTGCTAGCTAGATGGATCAATTTTATGACATCAACTTTGAAAAAAGATCATTGCTGCATCTTTTATCTTTTCTTTTATGTACTCCTAGAGCGTATGCAGTAAGACAAATTCCTTGTCACACTTGGCCAATAAAGAATTCTATTCTATTCTGTTCTGTTCTGTTCTGTTCTGTTCTGTTCTGTTCTATTCTATTCTATTCTATTCTATTCTATTCTATTCTATTCTATTCTATTCTATTCAAGCAATAGAGTCCATCAATTAACACATTCCATGAAGCGGCATTTTCTTTTACCAGAATTTGAATTTATTGTCAATAAATGTCCAACTTTAGCAGAGAAAAATATATCCCACTCTGCCTTCTTCACATTACTACGTACAATTATATAAGTCTCTGAGATGCCCCCCCCCGCTTTCAATGGGAAAGATTTGATTGGTTTTTTTATATATATATATAGGCATGATATTTTAACCTCTTGCTCTTATTTGAAAGTTACCACTGGTCATTCCTCTTACCATTACAATAATGCTTTCCAAAGATATTTGAAATTGAGAGAACCTCTTCTATTCTCTTGGCAATTGCCTGTTTCCACCCCACTGTGGAAAACTTAAAACCCAAGTGGTTTGAGAAGAATGTCTCAATAGATACCTTGGTTTGAACCAAGCACAATAATGAACTCTTAAGTACTTTAAAAAAAGAACGTTGAGGTTTTTTACCTTATGATATACTGGACTTTCCCATCTATTTATTCTATATGTTTCTCTTGAAGCTTTTTTCTTTCCCCACCTAAATTGGGATGTCCCATCTCGTGACAGCTAGAAACCTATTATTATGAGTTCTCACCTCTCTGGTGGTTTCACAGTGCCTGGACCTTTATAGCTGCTGAAATAGTACAGAATCATTTGACCAGCATATAGAGGAGATGATTAACAACTCATGTGGCTTTTTTGGTCTTGGGTGGCATATCAGCCCAAGGGCTGGTGTTGATAATTAAAGCCTACATGAGTATATTTGCTGCCATGCCTTTGAGAATAAAAAAACTCAACAACCCTCAGCCAGTTATAGTGGTTATAATAACAACTTCCAGATGTTCCTGGGATGCTGTAAATTCTCCAAATGTACAAAATGCAGAGATAATGCAATCTATGTGCGCGAATCAGTAAATATGACTTATTTATATGAGCCGAGGTGGCGCAGTGGTTAGAGTGCAGTACTGCAACTACTTCAGCTGACTGCTAGTTCAGCAGATCAGCAGATCAAATCTCACCGGCTCAAGGTTGACTCAGCCTTCCATCCTTCCGAGGTGGGTAAAATGAGGACCCAGATTGTTGGGGACAATATGCTATTTAGTATACTGTCTTTGGTGTAAGCCACCCAGAGTCCTCGGAGAGTGGACGGCATAGAAATATGAATAATAAAAGGAACCTGGATAGCTCAGCAGACTAATGCATTGTAATTAACATCCAGCTGTCTGCAATTACTGTAAGTTCAAATCTCACCAGGCTCAAGGTTGACTCAGCCTTCCATCCTTTTTAAGGTAGGTAAATTGAGGACCCAGTTTGTGGGGGCAATAAGCTGACTTTGTATAAATATACAAAAGTATGAAGGCTATTGCTTAACGCATTGTAAGCCGCCCTGAGTCTCTGGAGAAGGGCGGCATATAAATCAAATTTAAAAATAAAATAAAATAAAATAAATAAACAAAATAAATAAATTTGTCTTTATGACCACCTCATCAATGTAAGAAACAATATTGGCTAGGAAGGAATTGTGTGTTTATTTCATTGTTTTTTCTCAGGAGGTTTACTGAGACTATTTAGACAAATACGGTGTTCATAGGTTTACCTGCAAAGACCCTATATTATCCAAAGTAAATTCTAACTCCAATATCTGTAAAGTGAGCCCCCCAAAAAGAAGGGGGAGGGGGAAAAAGAACAGGTTGAAGCTTTTGGAACTCAAAGCTGAGTTTAAACTAGCAGGGAGTTTTGTTCTTTGTACGCCTTATATTGCACAAGCAAGCACTTATGTAATTGCAAAGGCTTTGTGTTAAATATAGCGGCCTTTCATAATTCCCAGATTTCTGTCTTTTTGCAAAAACCAATATATATTTTAGACTTCTCATGGGTAGTCTACTATTAGCATATTGCAATGGCCCTGAGCCAATTTTATATGAATGGGAGACCTGTGTTCTACAACTGAAGGGGAGAGCAGGTAGTTCTCCCCTAGTCAAGCTGTTCAGTTTTAAAACAACTATTGTTCGATAGAAGAGGGTTTATTAACCTTCAGAAGTTGTGGGTGCTTCATCCCTGGAAGCTGTTGTGGCCTGCCAGCGGCCTGCACGGATCGTGGCTGATCCCGATGAGGAGGCTGGTGTGGTGTCGCGCCAGCAGCCTGCACAGCCGGCGCTCGCGTCAGACAATGAGGAGGCCGAAGAGGATGCTCTCTGCCAAAGGCAGAAACTCAGCCAGGGCCTTCAGAACTCCCAGAGGCTCCTTCCAGTGGAGAGAGTGAAGTGGAGGAGCCTCTCCTCAATGCTCAGGCACGCAGGGCTGCCAAAAGGCAGGAGTGGCTACTCAGGAGGAGCAGGTCTACTTGAGAGTGGGACTTGAGGATAATTGGCCACTCCCTTAGCCTATTTAAGTCGCACGCAGCTAGTGCTTTCTTGCTAGAAACAACGTCTCATTACTACAGAGCATCTTGGAGAGCGAGTGACTTCTCATATCTGGTTTTCTGGGCTGGTTGCCAACCTTTGTCAGACTTAATAACTTTGACAAGGACCCTTTGCACAGGAAGCCTGCATTCTTGAAAGGGGTTTGTTTGGAATTAAACAGTGTTTGCGAAGCTTGGTGTGTGTCACATTCTCTGGGAATCTGAAGCTGGGGCAGAACAGAAGCTTTCAAGTGTCAGGTTTCGAGGTCGTCTCAAATAAATTGCATTTCAAACAAAGTCTTTGATGAAGAACTCTCATTTATTAAGCACGACATTCTAACTCTGACTCCATCGCAGCCAACACTGACTTCCAGACCCAAAACCCTCCCTTTCCGTTCCCCACTCCTCTGCACTCATTGGCCATCTTCCAAGTCACTCTACCCCTAATCTACTGCTCCAGCTCAAAGGAATTTCCCCCCTCCCATCCCATCTCCTAGGGGATATTATCTCCAGTGAAAATAAGTAGGTGAAAAGTCAAACGTCCCTTTCCAGACTCCTCCGCTTCTCCTTCTTATGTCAGCACTAGAGTAAATGCAACTTGAAATGCTGACATCAAGAAGAGACTGGACAGCCATCTGTCAGAAATGGTATCAGGTCTCCTGCTTGAGCAGGGGGTTGGACTAGATGACCTACAAGATCCCTTCCAACTCTGTTATTCTATCCCTACAATCTTGACAGCTTTAAAGTGTGTGGATTTCAACTCCCGCAATTCCCCAGTCAGCTAGATATCTTAAAGCTGTCAATGTTCAAAAATACTGCATGAGAAATATAGTTTGACCAAACAGAAAAACTCTTGTTTGAAACCAGAACTACGAACACCCCCTTGATCTAAGTAATGAGAGTACAAAATTCTTCAGCAAAATTTTTGTGGCAAGAGTTCAGAATTCTCAGCATCTTCAGTGAAACTTCTTTCTACTCTCCTTTAGCTTCTCTTCTGATAGCTATTCTAACTATTACCTGATCAAATATTATCAGTCAGCTTATTTTACAAACTAGTGGACTGGATGGGAACAGAAAAACATGAGTTTAGGATGGGGAGATCAATCATGGACCAGTGTTAGATTTTACAACATTATACATTATTCAAAAAAATACTCATCATCAGCCTTCAGAGGAGTCATATACATATGACATTTGTTGACTTCAAAGCAGCTTTTGACTTTTTCTAGAGAACTGTGGAACAAATTGGAGATCTTATCCATTCATAGGTGCATGCTGACATTCCTTATTAAAATGTTGCATGATAATACCTGTATCTAAATTAAATTTGACAACTAAGATCAGTTTTCAGCTCTGGTGCCTTACTTCCAGAGTGTTGGACAAAAGTGTGCATTTTAAACCATTTCCTATTTAATTTTTTTGTATCCATTTTATGGTGGAAAAAGTCACAGCCAGGCTGGTGGATGGGCCTATTATTTATTATTTCTATGTGCAGATTATGAAACCAAATTCTCAATTTAAGCTCTTGGACTGAGGAGAGCATTAGGTCCGTCTGCCTCCCATTGCTCAGATGATGACCCAGTTATTAATTATAAATTATGTTTTTTTTTCAAAGATACTATCAAAATAAATGGCAAAATAACAGGAACGTTATTGAACAGGTTAAGGCCTTTGATTATCTTGGAATTATTTTTCGTGCAACAGACTTCAGTTCAGCTTTAAAAGAACTGGTAAAAAGCCACAGCTGCCGTATTAAGGGCTTTCCATACAACAGGAGGTGATTATATACCAGCTGAAGTAAAAGAGTTAGAATACTTCATTTCTTATGGGTGGTCCTTGCTTAATTACCATTAATTTAGTGACTGAAGTTACAGTGGCACTGAAAAAAGGGACGTACAACTGGTCTTCGCACTTATGACCATCACAGTTTGCCATGAAGGTTGTCATTTGCAACCTTCCCAACTAGCATTCAGCAAGCAAAGTAAATAGGAAGCTGGCAGGACATCACAAGTTATGATCAGATGATGTCTTGCTTAATGTCTACAACCAGGACTGTTGGAACTGCCATTGCTAAGCAGGGTGGTTATGTGGTAATTCATTTAATGACCACTTCACTCAGCAACTGAGTTCCCAGTCCCGTTTTAGGGCTGTTAAGCAAGAACTACTAGTATGTGCCTATCCTGTTTCCCAAAAAATAAGACCCAACCGGAAAATAAGTCCTAGCATGATTTTTCAGGATGCTTGTAATATAAGCCCTGCTCCCAAAATAAGCCCTAGTTAAAATTGTCAGCCAGATGGGTGCATTTAGTACCGTATTTCCCCCAAAATAAGACCTAACCAGAAAATAAGCCCTAATGCGTCTTTTGGAGCAAAAATTAATATAAAACCTGGTCTTATTTCCAGGGAAACACAGTATAAGGACATGGAGCCATTAGAAGCTGTTCAATTGGGATTTCTATGGGACATTTTGGGACTCTCTGTGCATCCCAAACACAATTGTTTGCACTGAGATGGGAGGACAGATAGCATTGTTAGCTATTGGTTTATATTATTTTCAAATCAAATGGTTTGACTGCTCTGACTCTCAGATAAATAGGTGCCTTCCTAGTGAAAATTATTTCATTGCACCTTAAGTCCACCTTACTTGCGCCAATCCCAATGGGTAGATAATTCTTTCAACAATGTGCCGAGTGATTGACTTTCAAAATGCCTTACTTTATCCTAGAGAGACCAAAACAACAACAAAAAGTCCTTATTATATATTGCTGCAGTGCCTTTTTATAGACCTATTCATGCTATATAAGTATTTCCCCAGTTTCAACATGATATTTAGAGAGGACTGAGGATGACTAAGTCTCCTACTAACTAATCAGGAGGTGGAGAGTTCAGGAAGTAAAGACAAACTGAGTATCCTGACTATGATGGATTATAAATAGTTTCAGGGGAGGTGTTGTTATATTAACTTAATATAATGTTATATATGCTTTGGTATATTATTTTAGCTGTATTTGTACTTATTTTATTAATAATTTTAAAGGTTTTTTTAAAACAATTTATTAAATAAGGAACTGTTTATTTTTCCCAAATATCTCAAATGTGCTATTTCAGGTTTTTCTGAGGGGACAATTTCAGCCTTCTTGAGGGGGACAAAATGTCAACTGCCAGTTCTGACACTGTACTCGCAACCTGATATCCTACCCCACCCCATCTAGGATACCTATGCTGATTATGGAGTGATGGGAAATGCAGTCCCAACATAGCAGAGTAGTAGGTTGGGGGAAGATATGTTAGATATTAGGAACTCTGGTTTGTAAACAGGAACAGGTTATTTTTACTGGTAACAGAAACTACTTGGTATATTGGCTAAGCTATTGATTAGGCTCAGGGAGATCCATGTTAAAGGCCATCTTCATCTATGAAATGTATTGATGTATTTGGACCAGTGAATATCCCCCCCCCACTCTCTCCCTCTTTCTCCCTCTCCCCTCCCCCTCCACACCTCCTGAAATCTACCTTGAAAATTTGTTGCTATGGGTATCAAAGGAAGAGAGAATTCTATGTAAGTCATTCTGTAAATATAACATTCTTGTAAATATAACAAATAAAATAAAACAAATCCCAGCTGAAAGATATTAAATTAGAAAAGGATATTCTGGTATGCGCCAATGTTTATATTTTAGGGGTGAGTAAGTTTATTGAAATTAAAGAGAAATTCTCACAGTAGAAGTCCAGTAGATTGCAGTTACAGTATTTCTGGGATGAATCAATGATAAAATGGAACTTCACTCTTGTACACAGTTCCATCTCCATCAAAGGTTCATTCTATGAAAGACTCTTGGAGCTCAAATAATATTGCTGACTGAATTTAATAAACATTCTACTTCAGAAGGTAGATTATGCAGTGAAATAAATATTGTAAATATTTGTATTATGCAATGAATTTCTTTGTATTAATGCTAAAATGTACTTTGGTTTCTTCATAGGTAACAATACCGAATATGAAGACTCTGCTTCTCCTTATCAGTATTCTTGGACTAGTTGTTGCTTCTCCTGTAAGTGAATTGAACTATAACAAAAATTAACTAATAATGTAGTGATCTACTAGATGTAGTAGAGTAGGGGTGCCAAACTCGCAGTCCAAGGGCCAGATGCGTCACACACTGGCCACACCCACCCCTGGTTTAGCAAAGGGGGAAAAAGTTGTGATACGTCACGTGACGACAACGTGTTGTTGTGAGTTTGACACCCCTGTAGTAGACAGTTTAAATAAGGCTGATGATCAAGTAGTTAGATCCAGTGCAAACCTGCAAAATGGCTTGTTTAGAAAAAAAACCCACTGCAAAATAGAAAAGAAGGTTCAGCAGAATTGGTGAAAACCATGTTAATTCATCAAAAGAGTTTCATAAAAACTCTGCAAGGCAATTAATTCTAGACTCCAACAAATTTGAAATCCTGATTCACACATTCTGAGTCACCCAAAATTCACATGCTTGCAATATGGCAGTAAGAACGTTTGCTTATGTTCTTTGTAGTTATGGACATGCTGACTAGGACTTCTAGGAATGGTAATGACTACATATCTAAAATTTGGGAAATTGCTGTATTGACAACAGCTGGCTTTGTGGCACATAATAACTGATTAGGTCTCATCCTATGTTTTGCAGACATTTTTGAAAAAAACACGAGTACTAATGCAAGACTGGAAATTCAGCTTTTCTTCTTACTTCACTGGCTGTTCCATGCTAGTGATTTAACCGCATCATTCAGCAGATGTTAAGTAATCTGTCAGTAACGGAGATAGTTTTTTGCCACTCCAGTGTAGATTGGTTAATGCTGTTTTCTGCCCCTCCCCTAAAAAATGGAGGTGGACAACTTGTGGCCCTTCAGCATAGGAAGTTCCTCAAACCCATGCTCTCTACATGGGGCTCCCCTTGAGGAGCACCCGGAGGCTCCAACTGGTGCAGAATGCGGCCGCGCGGGGGATTATGGAAGCGAGGGGGCGCTCCCATATGACACCTCTCCTGCATGAGCTGCATTGGCTTCCAATGGTCTTCCGGGTGCGCTTCAAGGTGTTGGTCACCTCCTTTAAAGCGCTCCATGGCATGGGACCTGGGTATTTGCGGGACCACCTTCTGCCGCCGATAGCCTCCCACTGACCAGTACGCTCCGACAGAGAGGGACTCCTCAGGGTGCCGTCAGCCAGGCAATGTTGGCTGGTGACCCCCAGGGGGAGGGCCTTCTCTGTGGCAGCTCCTGCCCTCTGGAACGATTTGCCCCTGGAGATACGAAGGATATCAGATCTCCGGGTTTTTCGTCGTGCCCTAAAAACTTTTCTTTTCCATCAAGCAGGGCTGGTGTGAAACCCCCCCCCCCTTTTTTTCTTTTTAGTTTTTTAGCTTTTAATTTGGTTTTAGTTTCAATGTTTTAAATTTTGGGCCACAGTTATATAATTCTTTTAAAAATTTTAAATTTTGTATTGGTATGTGTTTTAGTTCTGGCTGTGCACTGCCCTGAGTCCACTAGGAGAAGGGCGGGATACAAATTGAATATATAAATAAACTTTGTGATGGGGCAGTCTCAGGCAGTTTTACAGATTACCTTATGCAGAAAATCTGTGGCACAGTATTGGAAAGAACACAGAAATGAGAAGTAAATTAGCATTAATAAATCCATCTATCCTATATATCATTAGTGCTTAAACTTATATACCACTTCACAGTGCTTTACAGCCTTCTCTAAGCGGTTTACAGAATCAGCATATTGGCTCCAACAATCTGGGTCCTCATTTTACCGACCTCGGAAGGATGGAAGGCTGAGTCAACCTTGAGCTGGTCAGGCTCGAACTGCTGGCAGTCGGCAGAGTTAGCCTACAATACTGCATTCTAACCACTGTGCCACTACGGCTCTAATCTCGTGAAGTTAGTGAATATATTTGTGTGTGCGATTAAATAGATTCAGAACCCCAATTCACACCATATTCTGTTGGTTGAATATGAGACATTAAACTTTTCCCCTTTGTAGTTCTGATCTGGTTTATGGGAACTTTTTGTCCCATGAAGAACATGTCTGAACTACTGTAATGGTGTGTGGGAGTGACCTTGGGAAAAAGAGGAAGAGCCATAATCAGAGTCCCGTCAGGATCGAACTCATAGCTGTGGGCAGAGTTTACCTGCAATGTCAATGCACTTACACAGTTTTCATATTCATTTCATATTGATTTTTTAAAAAATATATTCTTTCCTTCTAACAATCTTGTTATTTGTGTTATTTACCTAAATAACTAGCATTTTTAAATTTCATTTTTATGCTTCTTTATGACAGATCCAGAGGAGTGATGTATTTAGAAGAGGCCCCAGAGACAATCTTAATTCTACTAATGTAGATCAAAAAATATTAGTTAATCCTGACCATAAAAATGAGCAGAAGCAAAACAGAGATGGTGAGCACCAGGAAGGAGGAATATTGCTCAACCTCAAGAAACAGCATGTTACAGCTGGAAAAGTCTCTACAGGTGATGCTATCAGAGGGCATCAAAATGCAAAGGAGAGGCAGCTGCTTCAGGATGGCATAGGACTAGCACAAACCACAAGTAACAGCCAGTATAATACACAGGAAAATCTGGGTCAATACCTTAAAAGCTCTCAGCTGGATCTTCTCAAAAAGACCAGCCATGTGGAAGAAAATTACATTGAGGATAAGAGAGAGAACAATGCAGTTCTAGGTCCAGCATCCACAACCGGAAGCTCCAACGTTCACGAGACAGATCCCTTTGCTGAAAAACAACTTAGCGAGGGATCCCATACCAGGAATGGTCTTAAATCAAGCAAAGATGTTGATGTGTTCTCTAAGGACCATTACAGTTTTGACAGCTTCAATTTATATGATGAGGGCATGCAAGGAGATGACCCCGGATATGCTGATGACTCTGATTCCGGTGAGAGCAATTCCAACCAGCAACCTGGGGCACCAAGTAGTTCAAGCGATTCAAATGATGAGGAATCAGAACAATCAAACCACTCAGCAAATCCCGGAAGCCCAGATGGTTCCAATGGAGCCCAAGACTCCAGCGACCCTAGTGATTCGAGTAGCTCAAATGACTCTACTGATTCTAGTGACTCTAGTGACTCAAGCAGCTCCAGTGAATCCAGTGATTCAAGCAGCTCCAGTGACTCCAGTGACTCAAGCAGCTCCAGTGACTCCAGTGATTCAAGCAGCAGCTCCAGTGACTCCAGTGATTCAAGCAGCTCCAGTGATTCGAACAGTTCCAGTGACTCCAGTGATTCAAGCAGCTCCAGTGGCTCCAGTGATTCAAGCAGCTCCAGTGACTCTAGTGATTCAAGCAGCTCCAGTGACTCCAGTGATTCAAACAGTTCTAGTAGTTCCAGTGATTCAAGCAGTTCCAGTGACTCCAGTGACTCCAAAAGTTCTAGTGATTCCAGTGACTCAAGCAGCTCCAGTGACTCCAGCGACTCCAAAAGTTCTAGTGACTCCAGTGACTCAAGCAGCTCCAGTGACTCCAGTGACTCAAGCTTCCGATGCCTCGGATGATTCTAATGGCAATAGTAGCTCCAGTGATTCTGGAAATTCTAGTAATTCCAGTGGTTCAAAATAAACTATTTGAGAGGTGAAACAGTAGGAAAAAGCTGCACGTATGAATATAATAAGTCAAAATGGTAGCATTGTTGGCAAAAGTGTGAATAGTACATTTCATTCTTATTTTGATAACCGCTTTACTGTATTAGGCAGGGAAGTTCAATGAAGTAACAAATTTTAAAATTCTTTTTATAAAACACTTGGTGTCTATTTTGGCTGCTCCACTGACCTCACTATTGCAAAAAAAGATAACGATCCATGAAAAAAAAAATTCACAAATTAAAAAAAAAAAAAAAGTTCTAAAAAAAAAAAAAAAAAAAACCCTACTACAAGCCCTAAGCAATTTTCAGATTTCTCCAGTAATAAAAAAAGAACATTTGCAACTGGTTCCAAATTGTTTTGTAACCCATGGGTGCACTTTGAATTAATAACAGTATTCTTTTTCTAGACATCCATTTGGAAACTAGAGTTCTACATGTGTACATATGTGAGTACCACTCCTCATGATTCTTTGAGGAGTGTCACAATATTTAAGGTGAGCTAAAAGCAATTGCTTGTTCACCCTTTGCACTCACTGTCACAATGTGCATTCTTTTTTTTTTTTTAATGATGTCTGACTTGGCCTAATATGTGAGTCCAGCCAGCCTTTGGGATGTATGGCTTCAACAACTGTATGAACACCAATGTAGCACAATGTGTAGATCTGACAATTATAAATATAGAGTGCGCTGCAGAGGTGGGTTTCAGCAGGTTCTGATCAGTTCTGGAGAACTGGTAGCGGAAATTTTGAGTAGTTCGGAGAACCGGTAATAAAAATTCTGACTGGCCCCACCCCCATCTATTCTCTGCCTCCCGAGTCCCAGCTGATTGGGAGGAAATGGGGATTTTGCAGTAACCTTCCCCTGGATTGGGGAGGGAATGGAGATTTTACAGTATCCTTCCCCTGGAGTGGGGTCGGAATGGAGATTTTACTGTATCCTTCCCATGCCATGCCCACCAATCCACACCCACAGAACCGGTAGTAAAGATTTTTGAAACCCACCACTGGTGACGCTGCCCTAAATACAGAAATACAATTGCTTTCAAGTGGATCATGCATTACCAGATCTATAGGGACACATAATTAAGCATTAAAAAAAAATGTTACGGACCGAAAGTAATGTACAGTCAAAATTGAAAATGGTGGGACCAACTTTACTCATCTGATATTCTCTAGATGTCTCTAAACTACAATTGCTAAACTTCTCAGCTCTCCGGCTAGGAATTCTGATAAATGCAGTCCTAACTCATGCAGAGGGCCCTTGGTTGAGGAAGGCTAGAGTAAATAAACCTTTCCTTCTTGTGTTCTCTGTGATTTTTCCCTCTTTTTTTTTTTTGACATTTGTTTTCTTTTCTAATTTGGGGGATTGTGGCTTCTTATTATAGAACTAGGGTGTGGAATCTTGACTGCGCCACAAAGCTAGTGTGTCAAGGTTCTTTAAAGCTCAGGCTATGCTGTAAATGAGCTGGCAGAACAGGGCTCAACATCTCTTCCAACTTGCTTAAGAAGTATTATAGCAATATTAGAAATAATAAAGCAATATCCTATCAAATCTTGGACACACTATAAACCAGGGGTATCAAACTCGATTTCATTGAGGGCCACTTCAGGGTTGTGTTTGACCTCGGGGGGGGGACAGGGGGGCGTGGTCAGCGCGATGTCACACATCGAGGCTCTGTCTTTGGCCACGACGGCCTCCTGCATCCCTCTGCCAGCGAAAACGGAGCTTGGGGAGGCTGTGCGCTTCCTGCACGGGCTCCGTTTTCGGCTGCGACGGCCTCCTGCAGCCCTCTGCCAGCAAAAACGGAGCTTGGGGAGGCTGTGCGCTTCCTACCCGGGCTCCATTTTCGGCCGCAACGGCCTCCTGCAGCCCTCTGCCAGTGAAAATAGAGCCCGGGTGGGCCGTGTGTGGCCTCTCCAAGCTCCATTTTCATTGGCAGAGTGTTGCAGGAAGCCGTTGCAGCCAAAAACGGAGACTGGGAGGGCTTTGCGCGGCCCTCCTGAGCTCTGTTTTCACTGGCAAAGGCACCACGGGCCGGTCCTTCGCTGTTTCCAGGGTGGTCCTACGGGCCAGATCTAAGTACCCCATGGGCCAGATCTGGCCCACGGACCTTGAGTTTGACACCCCTGTTATAGACTATAAGTAGTAACCAGCTATCTTAAGTACCTGCTAATCATTGCATTACAAGTAGTTCTTGAATTACAATCATTCATTTAACCACTGCTTAAAGTCACAACAGTATTGAAAAAAGTGATTTACCACTGGTCCTCGCACTTACGATCATCACAGTATCCCTGTGGCCATGTGATCAAAATTTGGGCATTTGACAATTGGTATGTATGGCGTTGGATGGTCACATGATCACCATTTGCAATCTTTTCAGCCAGTTTCCAACCAGCAAAGTCAATGGGGGAATCCAGATTTGCTTAATGACTGTGCAAGTCACATTAAGTGACTACAGTGATTCGCTTAACGAGTGCGGCATAAAAGGATGCAGAACTGGGTGAGGCTCACTTAATGACTGCCTCACTTAACGACGTAAATGCTAGTCCTAATTCTCATTGTAAGTTGAGGGCTACTTATATAGTGAAATCCCAGCTAAGATGAAACACAAACTGATCTATACTGAAACACTTTAAAAATCAAAACAAATCAAGAGCTACACGCAGAAAAGATACTTGACTACAAAAATGACCCAGGACACAGATAAGTTGACAGAGTGGAGGCAAAATTCCTTTTTTAAAAAAAAGGGAACTAAAAGAGGGCATGATGAAGGGTTTCCAAATTACAAACTTCTGCAAAATCGTGAAGAAAAGACATTTCTGTCTCTGTTCCCAGTACAGAACGTCCAATGGAAATGCTTAGTGGAAAAGAAATAATTTTATCACCTGGTGCACAAATTCTTTGACTCAAGAAATCTTTAAATGGGGATCAGAAGTCCATCATTCATTATTAACCGTGGTAGGAAAATAAAATCTTTAACCTGTGAGGAAATACATCAACAACCAACCATCCATAATACACTGTAGAAACCAAATACCATCAATATTGCAAACTTGGGGATATTACAGTCTTGATTTGCTAGAGATTTTGAGCTGATTCTCACTGAAGGATTCTAAATTGGATTTTGCAGAGGGAACTGCAACCTCACACATCCGGAGGGCACTAAATTAGGGAAGGCTGATCTTGTACAGAAGAATGACATTTGAACGCTAACTCCTTATCTTTCCTGTCCTAAAATTCACACTACAATGCTTACCTTCAAGCTAACCAGAATTTGTACATTTTCAGCCTGGAATGCAGCTATATATGCAGGGTACATGAATGTATTCTGTAGGAGCTAAAAATGGTTTGATTTCTGGGAATGCCACCAGTGGCACAATGGTTTGGCAACTTTTGCGAGTCCAAAGATATTTTTGCACCATCTGATCTTAACTATTATTGGAAACATCCAAGCTGGATTTTTGTCTGGGTTTTTCTCTTAACTATTAGCTTTGCTGTACATTTCACTTCATAATCCATCCCTTCCCAGTCCCAAGGTTTTTGTTAGGATTAAGCAATTAATTAAAACAAAACTGGCTCAGAAGCATATCAAAATAATGAGCCTAAAAGTTGGTACATTAGGGCTCCAGGTCCTCACCAATGCAACGTTGGTTATAATTTTTGGGAGATGTAGTCCAGTAACATCTGGAGGTCCCCAGGTTTTTCATTTTTGTATTATAAGAGTACATTTATTATTTAAACTCAGCAAAATCAACGAGACTATTTCATTTCGGTAACTGTGGCCGCGACTAGTTTGTTTCATTATAGACTGTAATATGCTTGAACTAGTTTCTTTCATTATCAAATGTCGTAAATTAAATAAGTCACTGTAGTCTTGTTCTTGCAAAATTGATAAGTCGCTTCCACATTTTTATTAATGTTATCTTTACTGGTGAATCTTTTATGTAACGATGACTTTTAACATAGGGTTGTTACAAGAAAGTTTCGCTGGATGTAAGTAAAACTCAGTGCAATAAACTTGCTTATTTGCCAATGTTTCTGAAGTATCTGAATTTAGCAGCTAAGATCCCAAAGGCAACAAAATACTAGCTCATGATGCTTACAGAACCCTGCCACTTGTAAAATCATAAATGCTGCAAAGCATTGGATAAGATAGTGAAATGGACTTTCATTTCAGCTCCAATTGCCACTGCTAAATTAAAGTGCTACCGGCCCATCATTTATTTTGCAGAAAACTATACACCTATGAAATTGGCCGTCCTTGATGCTCACTTTGTCTTTATCACCTCAGGCATTGCTAGTCACCTGATTTCCCTCCAAGATAATGAGTGACAAATCATAGCCAATTTAAAATGTTTTAAAGCTGCCCCTGTATGGTGTCAGAATCTGGGGGAACTCTATTTAAAGTACAGCAACAGGTTAAACTGTTTCACCCTTGTTGAATGGGGAGGATATGAAGACAACAGAATAACAGAGTTGGAAGGGACCTTGGAGATCTTCTAGTCCAACCCCTTACTCAAGTAGGAAACCCTATACCATTTCAGACAAATGGTTGTCCAATCTTTTTTTAAAAACCTCCAGTGTTGGAGCACCCACAACTTCTGGAACCAAGTCATTCTACTGATTAATTGTTCTACTTGTCAGGAAATTTCTTCTTAGTTCTAGGTTGCTTCCCTCCTTGATTTGTTTCTATCCATTGTTTCGTGTTCTGCCTTTAGGAGTTTTTGTTCTGCCCCAGCTCCGGATTCCCGAGGGTATTGACACACACCAACGGTCCTTATCAAATTTATTAGGTAGCAAGAATAAACCAAAGTCCGGCAAAGGTTGGCAATCAGCCCAGAAAACAAGATACGATAAAACCTTTCCAAAAATGCTCTGATGATAATTACAAGTTGCTTCCAGCAAGAAATT